GCGCCGCGCCGCTGTAGGCGGCCCGGGGACGAGGAAGGCCACAAAGAGGGGAGGCGGTGTGAAAGGACGAGGGCCGAGAGACCGCCCCGGCTCCATTTTGGCCCACCGCGCTTAGCGGAAGCGCCGCCGCGGCACCTGCAGCAACCCGTGCTCGCTGCCTCCGCTGCTGCCTTGCCCGGCCTCGCGTCGGCCGGTAACGGGCCTGGGCACCACGCAGTGTCGGCACAGCGGCAGCGGCCACGTCCCGTGCAGTCATCCACAGCAAGGTGAAGATCAACTCTTACCGGTTTACAGCGGCGTTGATGTAAGAAAATGGCATTCTTCCTTTCAGTTCATACTGTAGATAGTAGCGGAAATTGTGCCAATACCCAAACCCATTCCCTGGACGTTAGGAAGAGCTGGTCTGTTGGAGTTGTGAAGGGCTGTTGATAACCCTGGCTGTAAAGGCCATCACTTGGGAGCTGTGAGTCAGCCCACGCCTGTGCGGTGCGTTCAGCCCGACAGTGGTGTTCTCCCCTGGAAGGTCTGCGGTTCTGGTGTGCAGGCTGAGGCTCTCGAGTGGAGATGAAGACACTAACACCAGAATTAAAACCGTGTGAAACTGAATTTCCTGGTGTTTGATGTGTGATTTCTGAGACTGCTCTTGCAAGTGTTTCAGCACACCACAGGAAAACATACTACACTCACTTCAGGTGAAATAGACAGCTCTGTGTCACAGCTCTGGGAGAATCCTGAAAAAAAGTTGTATTTCAGCAAGCATTGAAATCATATCCGTACTCGATAACGGTATGCTATGATCACTGTTAACTTGTTTCACAGACATTGTCAGGCATTTGAACACGGGCCTGCTTCCCATCAAAAGGACAGAAATTTCCCGTTACTACCGTTAATGCTATTTTGTTCCAAAACCTGGATTGAAATTAAACTCAGAGCAGAACAGGATCAGCAGCAACTCTATAGAAAGATACATCATTTTATGTCACCTTGTCACTAATATCTAGTCAACTTGATTAAACATTCAAACTCAAGTTTGCAAGATAATTTTTTATTTTCTAATGAAATAGCATATATGCTGTAAATAAAACAAAAAAAACCAGCTTTCACTCATCTCCCTTTGAACACAATCAGAAATTGAGATTAAAATGGTGTCCTGTTCAGAACACAGCCACTCAAAATAGGTTCAGCAGCACTGACAGCATGTTAGGAATAACAAAAACCTCAGTACTGCTGCTACCTGACAATCTGAAAGTTGTTTTTCTGGTTTAACAAGCTCTGTCTCTATTAGGTCTCATCCTTGCAGACAGGGCGATTTTCACTCATATAATGACTTCAGACAATCTCAAAGTGTTTTAAACATCTAAAGTTTGTTAACTCTAAGGCTCACAGTGATTTACCTTACCATAGCACTGCAGATAATGATAAAATCTTTTGCATCATCATGTATTTCCAACATAGCCAATGGAGAAAAATAAAGCAAAATCATTACAGCCAGTCTCCAAATTATGCCTTGCTAGCATATTCGTCTTAAAATAAATTATTTGCAACATAGTACTCCTAATATAGATTCTCTCTTGCCTGTAAAATATGTGTACTGTTTTGTTGCTACAGTGTGGATTTAAATATCAGATATATGGTTACAGAGTTAATAGCAAGGTAAAAATTAGTTTCTCTTCTTGGCAAAGATGTATTTTTAAATTTGCCAGGAACAAGGATGACATGAACTACACAACACTGTACAGAAGGCATACACCACTACATCTCAAAAGAGCAATCCATTTTCTTTCCTCCCTTTGTTCTCAATAACTGCTATTTAAAGTTGGTGCTACAACATAATACTAATTAGTTTAGTAATCTTGTGTAGCACAAATGATTAATTTATGCTAAACAAAATAATGAAAATAAATCATAACACATTCTGAGAATTTGATAAAAAGCTCAGAAAGCTGAAAAATCCTTATTAATGATTCCTAAAGTTGGCTTCAGTAGAACCTTTTTGAGACTCAAGTTAATTGATTTCTAAATTAAAGCATTTGTGAAGGCTAATCCAGTGTTCTGGATAAAAGATTTAGAAAATGATCCTATTTTGAGTCACATGAAAGAAACACTTACAGACCAGAAAAATCACTGAGAATATAAATTAGGAAATATAGCTCTAAAAAAAACCTCCAAGAACAACCCCCCTCAAGGTAGCAAACAACTCATATTAGGGTCTGTACTGAGGACATTTGTGCATTTGTGAAAGGGAGAAGATGCGAGTATGCTTTTGATCAGCAAAACTCTGTTTTAAAAGACCAGATATCAAATTTCAGCAGCAACAGGCCAAGAAAAAGAGACTTCTCTCTCCCCTACAACACAACTCATGAGCTTATAGGAGAGCTATTCTAAGTCACAGGACAAATACAGCTTTGGAGGTAGAGAAAACAACCGAGCAAAAAGAGACTTCAACTAATGCCTTGGTTATGAAAAAGTAGAAAGAATTCCAATAGTTGTCACCATAGTCTGGCAACTTCCCGCCTGCCCCCAAAATATTGCATGCCAACATCATTCATAGTAGACGTCGGGGGGGGGGGGGGGCGGTGGTGGTGTTTATTTTTTATTTTGCTTCCTCTCACATCAGCTAAATACTTATTACCCAAGACCATTCATCTTAATTTCTCATCTGACATTGTTCACCTTCATTCAAGTTTGTAATCCTTTCTTATTTCTCATGTGAAAACTGTTCTTTAACTTCAGCAGAGTCCTCTTCTGGAATGCCATCTAGTGGTTTTATCTCAGAAGAGACCAGCTTCTACCCTTCTGAAGACTGAAAAAGCCTTCAAAACAAACCAATGAAGCAAAATATTTTCCACTGCTTCAAAATCTAAAAATTTCTGTAATTATAGTAATAATAGTTAAAAAAACAATGCTAAAGAATGCAGTGAACATAGTTACTAGAGTCAATACCCTAGGTATACTTATTTTCTCTTCTACTGTCCTACTCCCTTAATACCTTGATTATATGAAATATTATATAAAAGATGTAATTAATCATTTATAGTAATAATAATGATGTCACAGGTAAAACTTATAGGCCTAATGACTATGAAAAAACAGCCATGACAAAGTATGTTATGTATGTAATGTAGTGCAGTGGCACTCTATCATAAACGTTTAACGAACTGCAGATTTTTGTCATACAGCAATATTCTTATCTTTAGGCTTGCGAGAACTTTATTAATAGTACTAAAAAAATGCGAGTAAAGGCACACTCACACAGTATCCTTAGATCTAGTTTGGGTATTTTAATCGGGGCTTATAAGCTTAAATCTGTAAACAGAAGTTTTCAGAAGAGGCAGGCACTGTTTCCATTTAAATGTTTGAAAGAACCTAGCCAGATGTGTCAAGAAAAATCCACTATTTTTTTCATATTACTAATTAATATTCAAGGTCTGAATCAATAATATACAAATAAATCGATAAAGTATATACATGCCTATATACAAAGCCTTTGTAAGACCCCAATACTAAAGTTTGTCCCATGTGTATTATGTTAAGTACAGTAACCTACCTGCTAACCAAAAAACCTGTTCCTGCTGTCACCTTAAGGGTAGTCTTCCTTCTCCCCCTCACCCCTCCAATCCTGGGTATTCCCAGGGCTTCCCCATAGTCAGAATTAGCATCTATGTGGGCAGCAAAGTCAGCCAGTTCAAGACAGTGAGTGATTCAGCTGAAATCTAAAAAACTGTTGGTTTTGGCAAGCTGAGTTTTCATTACATCAGATCCCTGATCTCAGTATCTGTATGGTCACAAAGACACTGGCAGTGGCTGGCAAAAATACACAACCAAAGGTGGGAGAAAAGGGCAGGATCATACTTTTCTACAACTTTTGATTTCAAACGGCCTATAATATCTGTATTTGTTAACAAATACAGATTATAAAAAATAGCATGGAATGAGGCACAAATACCCTGTTACTAATAAATTACAAAAGGAAATAAACCAAAGGTTGTAGAACAGGTGAGAAGAATTTTCTTACAACCATCTTTGCAACAAACTGGGAGCAGTCTTTAGATTGCTAAATATAAGTGAACATTAGGACAAAACATGTTTTTATGAAGTTATTATCTTTAATTTAAAGATATCTGTCAGTAACAATAGATTAATAATTAACCTGTTGGGTTTTTTTTCCCCCCACTTTCAAGATGTTACACCATTTTGAAAATTATATTGGCCATCTCCACTGGTCAGAAGGAGGTTCTTCAATTAGAGGCTCCCATGGTTTCCACTGTATCATTTTTCTTGCCAGGGAAAGCTCATTTTCAGCCTGTTAATAAACACCATACACAAATTCTTAAGTTCTGGACAATTGCCAAAGTATTAAATTACTTCTATTTCAGTTCATTATCTTGTTGATGTCACTACCTATCACGGTCAGGGACTACCACAAATTTCATCTATAAATATCAAAAGGAACTGTGTTTTGCAGGGGTTTGGGTTTTGTTTTTAAAAAACTTATTGAATCACCCCCAAATACCCAAACAGACAGTCTGTTCACCTAGTCATTCCCAAAGACAACTGCATGATACTTTCCAGTCTATTTGGATTATCCCCCAATATTATTCATTAACGTTCTGCCCTTTCCACTGATTTAGACTCTGTAAGAAGCAACATAGCAATATGTAAGCATAATACAGTAAACACGTGTTAAGTTGTGTTAAGTTTTAGCATGGTCCTCCTAATCACTACATGACAATTCATCTTCAGGTATTCCCCCCACCCTCCCCGTTTGATTGTTTTGCAGCAAAGGAAGATACGGAAAACTGCCAATTTTCTGAACAGAAGCTCAGCCAATGGAACACTGAAAACCACTGCCCCCTTTTGTACCTAACCTTAAATTTCCCAACTTTACCTGTACAATAACTTCTTCTATGTGACCACTATTCAGTTTGTCCTGTAGTTTTTGCACATCAGTCTCCTGTGTATTCAAATGCATATAAATAAATATTTAGTTTTACTGCAAAGTAGAAAGCCCAGATAAAGCATGAAAACAATGATTTAACCAGATCACACTCTAGTCTTCCTCAAAACTTACCATCAGATTAGCTGGAATTAGTGTGTGGAAATTGCCACTGTTCTACAAATCTTAAAAAAAACATGTTTTCTTCTAATTTTCACAGAAAATGTCACTAAGAAATTAACAATTCTCCAGTTATTTCTGAATTGATACCTGAAAGTTACATAGACTCCTGAAAAACAGCCAGTCATTCTGAAAGTCATTCTGCTCATCCTAAGAATCTTTTCATGCGTAACATTTATGAAACAGCTCTGTACTTACCGTTTGCACCAAATTAAATCGCTGATTTACAATCTGCTCAGTGTACTTCCTATATGCTGCATCTTTGGGAATGTTTTGCAGGACACCAAGGATTTTTGTGTACAGTATTCGCAGGCGCTGAAGTGATCACAAGACATGGTTAAAATACACAACTACAGTTGTTTAACTTCTTGTCCTACTTAACCTACTAGCTAACTATCTATACACAAAATATAGAGGGTTATGGTATTCAATCCAGAATGTAGGATTAACAAGATAACCAAGTCTGAACCACAGAACTCTGTCTTGGGTAAGACTGGGATTTATCAGGACTGGGAAGTTACCACTGTCAGATTCCTTGAAGGAAAAAGAAGGAGAAAAAAAAAAACCACCTAAATTGCAATCTGAAGTATGTTTGATACAAAATGGAAACAATAAAAGACACGTTTCTAATACTAACCATACTTTTAGAAAATGAGGCAAATTCACATCTAAACCATCAGTTTCTGAAAAATTACCTGGGAAAGATATACAGAAGCACATAAGCTACCAAAGCATATCTAGATTAAATTTTTTTTGGCCCTTCTCCTCATGCTGGTGCAAAGTTCTGAGTGACAGGCAGATTTAAATTAAACTAAAGTCTGAAACTTTATTGCTGGATTTAAATGCAGTGATAAAGGACACATTGGGGTGAAGAAATTGCAGCTTTTGGGCCGTATATTGGCTGGGTATCTGTATCTAACTGAAGAGGAATGGATGTCCTATAGGAACAATAAGAAATAGAAGCCAAATACTGCAGTCAAAAAAATACAAATAAGACAAAACAGGAAACAAAAAGGGGACTGGCACAGAATCTGTACTTCAGCTAAAGCATTGTTGATTTCTTTACTCTTGGCTTTAAGTCACTGAAAAAACCAAAATTTATTAAGTTCACCCAGAAGGTGTCTGACAAGGCTGTAGACTGAGCTAGAACCATTTGTACAGAATAACAACAATTTTTTCAGTTGTTCTTTTTGACACTATTCCTAACTTCTGGTGGCAAAAGAATTTCTGAAACAGAATTGTTGTATAGTGGGAAATAGCAAAGCACGGAGAAATTAAAGAATTGCTTAAGTCCTTTAAAAGCTCATACCTCCTGAATAAACAAGATGTGGCAAATGTACTTTCATTACTGAGCCCGAGGAGGTAAAAAAAAAGTACCAAATCGCTACAAGAACCACCTACTGTGGTTCCTGAGAACCACTGAAGCATTCCAATCTCAACGGGGCTTGCCATCACAGGGCCTTGATGTGCCTTTGCACCACATGGTTAGCCTCTATCATGTAAGACTAGCCTATCCCCTTAGTATAGGTGCAAGTTATTTCAGTACTTGTTGGAAACACAACATAGCAAGGCAGCAAAAATCTGTCTGCCTGTGAAGTAGAAATTTCTTTTATGAAGAACTGAATTTAAAGAGTTCTTTGCTTTTACACTGGAGATGAGAGAAATCAAATATTGGTTCATAAAAGTACTTACACAAAGTAGGTTTTTGAAATCAGCACATGCAACAAAAAGTACATGTGCAAAATAACTCCTAATGATATGAATTACACTTTTGAGAATTAACTTTCTTCCTGTATCACTTTGGAACGTGTTTACACTTTAAGTTGGCACCGCTTTAAGGTACACAGCATACCTACATACACAAATACATAACAAAAAGCTTTGATCTTCCTGACAATCTCCATTAAGTACTGCGCAAGACACGCGACATACCTCATGAGGGTTTTCAGCTACAGCCAATCCTACGAGTCCAGTGGTCTGCACAGAGAGCATAAATATATTTAACATACCTAAGCGTCTATTTCCACGCGATCTGGTTGGTCTGTTTTGCCTCAACATACACCTGACGGGGACCATTCTGTGACGCGAGGCTCTGCCTCCCACCGCACACACGCGACCCCACAAACTCGCAGTGTTTTGACCGGCGCACACGAGGGGAGGGAGAGCGCCACGAGCGGGAGCAGCTCCCGTTACAAAGCCTTCCCGCGGGGGCGAACTGCGGCTCACCCGCCCCCT